TCAGAGGTGCCAGAGGCAGTTTACTTGAATTCAGTATTGATAGGAAGTTGTGCTTCAGACTCCTTGCAAAATCTACCTGTTCATGGTCCGCATCTTCATTCCATCCCAGATTCCATTTCATATCTCTGATAAGCAAAGGGTTCAGCTACTCAATATGCCATTCAGAATATAACACACATTACAACATGCAAGTGAAACAGCACTCTTTAGAGATGCCACAACCCCTACAGAAGCCTCAGATGGCCCCAAAACAACAGTTGTGATTAGACACACAACCCATCGTTGCTTTATCAGCCTTGGCGCACTCACAAAAAAATTCTAATTGCCTATCCATCCTCCTCCTCCCTGCCCCCCGACCCCAGATAATACACAAACCTCAGCCTTGATCCTGGGAACACTTTTGTGTATGCACTTGATAATCTTCTTGAAGTATTTGGAACTACTTGTGAGAGTGGAATTAAACAAGTTCACAATAGTATGCGAGATTGAGGCCTAATATTTTACTTGCTCATCAGTTTTGATTCTCAGGAGAGTTGAATCAACGTTACAAAAGCGTTATATATTGTATTGACAAAAAGCAAACCAGAATGAATATTTTGAGCTTTTACATTTTTAAAACACTATACAAGTTTGAAGCGAACGTCTGAATGAAACTAAGGCATAGTGTTGCATCTGTGAACCTATTAACTATCTACACTCCTGTCAACATTTTACAGCAGAAACAATATTTAAGTTGATAGCGTAATTGAAGCATTATAGAAATTCTGCTTACCACTAAACCACAAAAATAACTTAAATGTAATTGATTTAGAAGTATAGTTCCTTCCAAATCAAATGTAGCATTTACTATGGACTAAAACGCCATTGACCATTTTGCTGAATTATAAGTACAACTTATTAGACCTTATAGTGCACCAGAAGAGCACAATTAACACATTTAAGTTAAAAACCCACAAGCTTTTTAAAACATTATCCAATTCCTCATCTTTTGACAAGCTGTATTTGCTTAAAAAGAGTTTAAATCAACTTACAGACAAGTATTAATATTTATTTCATGCAGTTTCTGTAATTCAAGTATTTTCTGATCACTGTACCTTTTAAAGTTGATCTTTAATTGCTTTGAAAAGCCAGAAGGAGAAGTACTTGTATGGTAAGCTACATTTCCATTCAGACACTGAGAGCAATAAAATACAGAAAATATATGTGTACTCAGAAAGCAGTGTAAATTTTCATCTATGTAATCACTTGATATTAGTTTTGTACTATAGCATACTGTTAAACAAGAATTTTAACAATTAAAAAAACCCACAGGCTTTGTATTCTAAACAAGTCATTACATAAAATTAGGATGAGATTAAATGTATTAAAAAGTTAGTCCCAATAAATGGATTTAAAGTCTACAAACTCAGACACTCAGACATAAGGGATAATTTAATTAACAGATAATGGGGCTTTAAGATGACAGAACAGGGCAATTACTGTTCATGACTACAGCAAAGTCTGGTAGCATTTCAAGGTTTTTGAAATAAAAATGGTCAATAAATACCAGAGTTAGAATGATCATTTTCATACATGAGTAGTAGCCAGTCAGTTGCTAAAACCTTCCCTCTCTCCCCCACCTGCTGAAAAACAATTAATACTGGTTAAAATCATTGCAAAAAGCCATCACTTTTATACAAACATTCTGTCTTACCTTAGATGCATGAAAATAAAGAGGTAGATTAAAAAAAGAAAAAACAGATTCTTCATTCTTTGTCACTTTTATTCAGTAGTTTTTTTTCTTCCTTATTTTCTCTTTTTTGGTGCCAAACATGGCAAGGAGTGATTACAGTCAACTGTTTATTAAAACATTTGTTCGCAACACAGACCCCCTTACCACTGACCCCAAACTGACCCATTTCATGTGCTTTATTTCATTTTTTTCTATACACCACCACCAGGTATGGGCGGAGGGAATGAAGGGGAGAGGGAGAGGGAGTCCAGGGGGAGGAATGCTACAAGCCACAGCAAGAATGAGCTGCATTTAATAAAAAAGGGCCACAAATGATACAGTAATGAGGTTACACAATTAAATCCCATAGCATGACTGAAGGCTTTCCCTGTGTTTGACGTCATCACAATGGAAGGCATAAAAAGTGGAGTAAACCAATGTTGATACAGTCCAATCTAGTCCATTAGGCAAGATGGTGCAAGTAGTCATTAAATTAAAAAGTGCCCTACCCTCACCTAAATGGCTAGCAGACATGGAGAACACCACAGTGATGATCAACAGAGCTTTCTCCATGTAGCTAAAAAAAATGTGTGTCATATGGCACATTTTTAAACACTGGAAAGGGGTGCCACAATGGACCTCTCTCTCTTATTCTCTTTCATTTACAGGTACAAATGCTAGATTCAACTATCTCAACTATGCAGGAAGTGGACTCTTCTGTTAGGAATGCCAACCCTAATTCACTTTGTCTTGAAATATATACAAGTTGTTTGTAGTAGCTACAGCAATGATATTTTCCTTGGGATGCCAGGCTGTATGTAGTATCTTCTTGTTGAAGTCTAGGCTGTCAACACTAATTTCATCCTTCTTTCGCTTGCCACTTGCACAGACTTTGCGGGGCTTCAAAACAGTGCGGGGTTTGTTGTTTTCCCGAGATGCTTCTAAGGTGATGTCTCGCTTTGTGTTTCTGTCAAACATTCTGAAGAAATTGTTGTAAGATCCTGTCATGACAACACTGGAAAGAAGAAAACTGAAGATTAAGCCTAGAACGCAACATTTTAAAAAGAGGGAGCTACCTGCATTATAGTAGTGCCTGAAGGCCTTGACTGAGAACAGGGCTCCGTAGTTGTGGGGGCTACATGTATACACAGAAACAGTCCCTGGCCTACTTGAGCTTACATTTATTTTCACTCCCCTTTACATTCTATTTGAATTGTATGTGTTAACATTCACTTGAGCTTACAATTCAAATAGAGAATGTAAAGGGGAGTGAAAATAAATGTATGTGTTAACATTTTACAGACAGGGAACTGATTTGAATTGTATGTGTTAACATTTTACAGACAGGGAACTGGAGCACACAGGAGTCCCATACAAACCACCCATCTCCCAAGTCCCAGTCCAATGTCTTAACACAAAATCATCCTTCCAAAAGAACCCAGAAATCCTGCCTTTCCATTACCCTTTACCCCTTCACAAAATATCTTTTGAGTTGCACAGTGGTAGGGAAACAAGGTCACCTATTTGGACTCACTACTGTAAGGTGCTGTCCCCCCTGCACTCTTGAAGTCAACGGGAGAGGAGGGCTCTCGGAACCTTTCAGAACTAGAACCGCTAGCTGCCACCACTACTGTAAGGTGCTGTGTCCCCTGCACTCTTGAAGTCAAAGGGAGAGGAGGGCTCTCGGAATCTTTCAGAACTAGAACCGCTAGCTGCCAACAGAACTTTTTCAGCCCACACAGCTATTGTAAAAGCTATTCGGTGTACAACTCTGATTTTTCTCCACAACCACTCAATCAGCTACATTTGCAAAGACTTTGTTACAGAGTTCTCGCTACGTCAATTCTTTGTCCCGTAAACCCACATTGTGCCAAAATTAACCCCACCATAGTCCCTACACAAAGCAATTCTTCAGAAAAACATCTAAGTTATTATCTTGTAAACCCACACTGTGTCAAAATTAACCCCACCATAGTCCCTACGCAAAGCAATACTTCAGAAAAACATCTAAGTTATTATCTTCAAGAAGTAACAATACTATCATACCCCATTTCAAAACAGCAGTATGGTTTGACTCAGAGGACCAAATTTCATTCTTTTGGAACTAAACGCTGGGTTTTTTGTTTTTTTGTTTTTAATATGGGCTAATCCTATAAGACGTTGAGCATCCTCAACTCCAACTGACTTTGGGCACTTAGTTTGCTCAGCATGCTTTAGTAGAAACTTGGTAGTTCACTACATTAAGCCCTATAGATTATACCTGTGTGACCCAAAGTCTTTTTGATTCCAACAGGGATATAGAGATCACATGTTCACCAAAAGTGGAGACAGATTTCTACTGAAAGCCTGTGTCACAATGGTCATCACTATCACAGAGATGTATGTACAAATAATATGTGAGGAGTTATGTATATATACTAAAACTTATGTTCGCTAGTAGAGATGTAAAATCCCATTTACAGTAAACTTCCGATAATCCGGCACCTTTAGGACCCAGGGGGTGCCGGATTATCAGATATGCCGGACTATCGGGGGGGGGGGACAGGATAGAGGGGTCTGGGATGGAGTGCGGGGGGATGCGCCCCTCTGCGCTGTGGGACCAACCCGGCAGCACCACAGCTGCTCTGCTTCAGACTTTCCCAAGTCAGCCGCTGCTGAAACTGACCAGCGGCTGAATCGGGGAAGGTGGGGGCAGAGCAGCTCCAATTGTCTGGCTGCCCGGAGCACTTCCGGGTTCCAGATGGTGCCGGACCATCAGGAGTGCCGAACCATTGGATGCCGGACCACTGCAGTTTTACTGTAACTAGTTAAGCATTATGTTTAACTGGTTAACCACTTAAAAAGGGGCAGGCAGGGGTGCTGCTCCAGTCCTGCTGGGCAGGAGTGACCCTGCCATCCAAGGCTGGGCTTGAGTGCCCCCCCACCACCACCACCAGTTACACCCGCCCAGATGGAACAGCCCCTCCCTGTGGGGCATCCAGGCCCGCTGTGGAAAGGGGATGTTCCGGAAAAGTGGAGAAGGGGAGAAGGGATGATCTAGATCAGTGGGCCCCAATGCAGTGCCATGGCACCCACCAGGGCATTTATGTGCGCCCACCTAGTGACCAGGGCCAGAATGAGCCATTCTTGCGCCCCAGGCGGCCAGCGCATACGCGGCCCCCGAGCACGCGGCACATGCACAGCCACCACCCCCGCCCAGACCAGCAGCCCCAAAAGATTGGGGACCACTGATCTAGATGGTGCTTAGTCCTGCCATGAGGGCAGAGGAAGGGACTTGATAACCTCTCAAGGTTCCTTCTAGTTCTATGATTCTAAATGACAAAGTTGCAGTGCTAGAATGAAGAGGCTGCATCCCACAGTAAAAACTAACTACATTAGCTCATAACTCTGTAAAAAAAATCAACCTGTATTACAAAAAAAAAAAAAAAAAAAATCAACCAAACCCAAGAAATAAAGGATTCACACATCTGAGGCTACATTTTGAATTTCTCACTTCAGAAGGAACCTGTAGTGCCGCTTCCCATTCCCAAAACTGAGGCTTAAATATGTGAAGAAAACTGGTTAGACTTGCCTGTCAGATCCATTCCAACAGCACTCAAATTTGTCAAAAATGCAGTCATTCTCATACAGAGAACAAAGTTTACTTCTGAGGTATTCATGCACCTGAGGGGCGAGGAAAAAAACAACACTTTAGTGAATATTTTAAGAGACGTAAATTTTCTGTGCAAGTATCCAAGCAAATACAAGTTGACCAACCTGATTCCTGAGGAAACCCTGTAAGTTGACAGGTAATGTCACCACTGGCCCTATGGCAATGGACTGATCCTAAATGGAGCAAGTTTCCAGCACAACACTGCCTTTTGATCTCCTCTCTCATGCTGCAAAACACCACCACTTTGCTAACTTGTAGCCCAGAATGCAAATCACACTTATTGCGCCCTTCATAAGACTCACCTCTCATGGTCACACTCAGTACATGCCATGTTTCCAAGATTTATAACACCAGTATATGAAATTTCACTGCATACCTGGTATGTTTCCACAGGTCTATTTTCCATATTTAAATCCCAGATCTTCACTGACAGGTAATCTCTAGTCATCATGTATCGACCACTATGGCTGAATTTTACATCGGATATGGAAGAGATGATTTCAGAGAAAAACGATCTGTTGCTAGGGTCTTCTGGTTCTTCAAACACTGTAAATAAAAGACTGCTTAAGTCCTCCTTCTCCCAAGGCCCTTCCTCCTCTCCCAAGGTCCTAGCATTTCTATCTTCTGCCCCAGCTGTGCTGCAATAAATAACCTTGCTGCCATTGTGTGCAATATTTCAGAAAGATAAAGAGTTGTAATGTGACCTCTGTGCAGTGAAGTAGGTCAGCTTTATGCAAACATTTAACCTGAAATTAACTTCTAAAGAGATGGTGAATCAAGTCTATGTAAGACAGAAGTAAAAGCAAGTCACTACATATTGCTTCTCCTAGGCTGGTCACACTAAAACAATCCAAGACAGACTGAGGGATCTAACTTTTGAGGGTATACTCGTTTGCAAAGCTTAAGCATTAGCTATGGACAGAGAGGCTGACAGAAATACCAGGCCCCTGGGCAAGGGGAGTGGCTCCATGCTCCCTCCCAAAAGGAAGAGGCAGGGCTGAGGCTAGCCTATCCCTGCCAGACTTTCAGCATTGCCCGGAGCTCTGACGCAGCAGCAGCGGGAAGCCCTGGGCCCTTCTGAAATTTCCAAGCTCCTGAGCAACTGCCCCCTTTTTCCCATTCCATCAGTGGACGAGGCTACAAATCTGAGTTAGAATTGAACTAGTGATTTAAAAAGTTAAAAGCTGCATTAAGTGGTTTCTGATCCTCTCAAGAGCCAGCCTTCTGGCATTAATTTTTTAAGTTCGAGTAAGCTACTGTTGTCACTCAAATAGATAAACTCAACATTAAAAGTAATCTTGCTTAACTACTTTGTTTATGGGTGTGAAAAATCCACACCCTAACCGATGTAGTTAAACCAACCTAGCCTCCCCCACAACATAGACAGAGCTAGGTGGAAGGAAGAATCCTTCTGTTGACCTAGCTACCACCTCTCAGGGGGGTGGATTACCTATGCTGATGGAAGAACTCCTCCCATCAGTGTAAGTAGGGTCTACACAGCAGTGCTGCAGCTGCAAATAAGCTCTTAGTTTCTTCTAGTAGTGAAATGCTGAATCCTTTATGAAAAGGAGGAGGGAGAGGAATCTATAAGGAAGCAGGACTCACATTTTGAATGTCTGTCACAGAGTGCCGATGCTCTCATGTCACACAGACGAATAGTTCCTTTACTACTGCTGTACACAAATGTGTTACAGCTGTTCGGATGGAACTCTGCAGCTGTTATCACCTCGGTCAGCTCTTCCATGTTGGCAGGCTTAATATCTACAATATCTAGAGAGTACTTTATTAAGGATTTTACTTTTCAAATTTTCAGAACTCACTTTTACAAATATATTTATTCCACAAAGCCTCTCCAATCATCAATGAATGGATCTCTAAATCAGACAAACGTAACACAATCAAAAGAGGAAGGAATCAGTGTGGCGAGAGCAAGACAAGACAGGACTTTGTGAGACTCCTTCTGTGATGTGGGGCAAATCAGAGCCTCTCTGTGCCTCTGTTTATCCACTTTAAATATGGAAATGTAGCCTTCTTTTAATGGTCTATAAAACCACACAACATACCCTGAAATATAAACAAGCCATTGTTTTAAAATTCTTCTATAACCTGGTAAGCAACAGCAACAAATATATTTTATAGGGCTTAAAATAACTGAAATCAACATTCTAAATAAATGATTGGGCACGACATCAGTTGTTCAGTTTTGCATCATGCTGGCTTGTGTCTAATGTCACCAACTGCTGCAACATAACCAAGGCTGATTGTCACAGGATTTTGTGATTTCCTGGGGGTTTCTTCCAGGAAGTTTGAGATTCATTTGCCCACTGCTCCAACTTTTGCTCCCCACGGAGCAGCGCTGAATATGCTCCTGTGGTTCATGGGGCCTACAACCTTTGTGCATAGGTGCAGGAGTGGAGTGGTGGGCATTGGGGGAACAGAGAAAGAGAGAAAAGGGGACTTGAAGTTCTGCTGCAGACCAGTAACTTGAGGGATTGAGGGTGGTCCTTCTCTTGCAAACATGGCTCCAGATTTGTTTCCAAACACAAAAACTTCCAAATTGTTCTCTTTCCCGCTCTGGTCCTTGTCTATTCCTGGAGCTTTACCTTTTCCCCACTTTTGATAAATGCCATGACTTTTCCTGGCAAAAAATTATGGCAAGCAACCAACATTAATCACGTATCAGAGGGGTAGCTGTGTTAGTCTGAATCTCAGGCATTGGCACTCTCACTGCAGGACCGTCTGGATATGTGGACTCTCTACTCAGACCCTATACCACCAGCACTCCGTGCTATCTCCGAGACATCACTGATTTCCTGAGAAAACTACAATGCATCGGTGATCTTCCAGAAAACACTGTCCTAGCCACCATGCATGTAGAGGCTCTCTACACCAACATCCCACGCACAGATGAAATACAAGCTGTCAGGAACAGTATCCCTGAGGATGCCACAGTACAACTGGTGGCTGAGCTCTGTGACTTTATCCTCACACACAACTATTTCAGATTTGGTGACAATATATACCTCCAAACAAGTGGCACCACTGTGGGCACCGGCATGGCCCCACAATATACCAACATTTTTATGGCTAACCTGGAACAATGCTTCCTCAGCTCTCGTCCACTAGGGCCCCTTCTCTACTTATGCTACATTGATGACATCTTCATCATCTGGACCCATGGGAAGGAGGCTCTGGAAGAATTCCACCGCACCATCAACCTCAGCCTGGACCAGTCTACACAAAAGATCCACTTCCTGGACACTACGGTGCAAATAAGTGATGGTCACATAAACACCACTCTATACCAAAAACCTACTGACCGCTACTCTTACCTTCATGCCTCCAGCTTCCATCCCGGACACACCACACAATCCATTGTCTACAGCCAAGCACTAAGGTACAACTGCATTTGCTCCAACCCCTCAGACAAAGACAAACACCTACAAGATCTTTACCAAGCATTATTGAAACTACAATACCCACCCGAGGAAGTGAGGAAACCGATTAACAGAGCCAGACGTGTAACCAGAAGCCTCCTATTACAAGACAAGCCCAAGACAAGCCCAAGAAAGAAACCAACAGAACACCACTGGCCATCACCTACAGTCCTCAGTTACAACCTCTCCAACACATCATCAGTGATCTACAACCCATTCTGGACAATGGTCCCTCACTTTCACAGGCCTTGGAAGGCAAGCCAGTCCTCGCCCACAGACAACCCGCCAACATGAAGCAAATTCTCACCATCAATTAACTATACACCACACCACAGTAAGTCTAACTCAGGAACCAATCCCTGCAACAAACCTCGGTGCCAACTCTGCCCACATATCTACACCAGCGACACCATCACAGGACCTAACCAGATCAGCCACACAATCATGGGTTCATTCACCTGCACATCTACCAATGTAATATACGCCATCATGTGCCAGCAATGCCCCCCTGCTATATACATTGGCCAAACTGGACAGTCCCTATGTAAAAGAATAAACGGGCACAAATCAGATATCAGGAATGGTAATATACAAAAAGCTTGTAGGAAAACACTTCAATCTCCCTGGACATACAATAGCAGATTTAAATGTCGCCAGCCTACAACAAAAAAAACTTCAAGAACAGACTTCAAAGAGAAACTTCTGAGCTACAGTTCATCTGCAAATTTGACACCATCAGTTTAGGATTAAACAAAGACTGTGAATGGCTAGCCAACTACAAAAGCAGTTTCTCCTCTCTTGGTGTTCACATCTCCACAGCTGCTAGAAGTGGGCCTCCATCCTCCATGACTGAATTGAACTCATTATCTCTAGCCTTACTCTTGATTGGTACTCTTTTCTTAAGCCTGTATATTTATACCTGCCTCGAATTTCCACTACATGCATCTGATGAAGTGGGTCTTTGCCCACGAAAGCTTATGCTAAAATAAATCTGTTAGTCTATAAGATGCCACAGGACTCCTCGTCGCTTTTGAACATTAATCATGTCGCTTTGCCTTATGTTTCCTAAATAGGAACTCTGGTATTGGTATTACAGTAGCAATATTCTCTGCAATTGCAACTAAAAAAGTAAGAAAGAAATGGAAGATGTCCTAGATGTACAACATTTCAGGGGAGAAATCTAACAACACTGGTTATAGCAAAAAGTCTTTCCCAGATAAAAAGACAAATGGAAAAAAAAAAAAAGATACTAAAACTTCTGTCTGTAATTTCTAGGTGCCACAGATTAATCCGCAAGTCATCTGCAGATAGGTACGTTTCATAATCACTATTGATGGAGATAGAGTTGATGTGGTACGTGTGAGCATTGGCAAATATTCTTCGTGGACTAGCTTCAACCATAAGATCCATGGGTCTGAAAACTGGCACCTACAAAATACAAGAAAATGCAAAATGCTAGCTGTGCATGTAATACAGATAAATGTGTATTGACAGTCACCCATCCAATGCACCATCACCAAGGGGATAAACAAGGACCCTGAAGTCATTCCAGAAATCAATATCCTGTGAGTAGCAGGCAAAGAACTGCTGGTGTACAATATGTGGGACACCATTGAAAACTCAAGGTGAATCTCACTATTCGAAGGGGTAGCCATGTAGAGAATGACTGGCACTTGGAATCAGGAGTTCTGACTTGTATTGCCAGCTGAGCCACAGATCTGTCTATGGGACCTTGCAAAAGTCACTGAACTACCTCTGAGTTATTAAATGAGGCTAAATACTTATCTAACCTCAGATGGCGACTATCACACTAAATAAAGGAGATACTCACCCGTAGTGTTGTAACTGTAGAAGGGTCCCTATACCGCCCATCTTCTTCCTTCAAGTTATAGCCTTCCGGCCTCTTATCCCTTTCACTGATTTTCCATAACTTTATTGTTTTATCTGCAACAAAGAGTTGTCCACGTTCAAATGAAAGCTCAAGCATGAGGCTGCTTTCTTTTCACAGCTGGTATTTTTGGAACATTTCAGTATTCACTTAAGTGAGGCTGGCAGGATTATCTAGCTACGTAGATAAACACCACAAAAGCTCTAAAAGCTAATGTTTGGAGAAGCATATTTTGTTGGACGTGAATATTGCCTCAACTTACAATTATGGTGAAATGAACTGGTAATGTTAAACCGCACTTACAACTTTCTCTACAGAAAAGTTTTGTACTGGTATTTTGCTTAGAGAGGAGATTTTTTTTTAAAAAACGAAAAATAATTAAACCACTATAGTCCCTCATGTAGATACAGTTCTGTCACTACAAACATGTTATCCAACACAGTTTACTGCCCTTCCTGTACAACAATAGAGACACTCTACTAATTTTGCTATGTCAGTATTACTGTGTCCATTGTAGGGCGGACTGTACTGATTTAAGTAAACAAGTATAGTTAAAACACTGCAACTTGTGTATAGACAAGCCCTTTAGACTGACATTTACTTTAAAACAATCTGATTACAAACTTAACAAATTAAAGCGACACAAACTTATTTACTATTCAACTCTTTTGGATACCCAGATATGATTAAAGCAAGCACAAATTACTCATTTATTGTACTGTGTAGATGTCATTGAGCATCTAAATATTAGAAGATCTCATGGTTCATGGAATAGGCTGATCAATATAGCAACTCACAAATATAGGGGTTTCCGCCCCCCCCCCTCCCCACTGTCTTCTTCTGCATCAAGATGTTGACCACTGCTTGAATCAAAACAGATTTTATGGAGTAAAGGACTGGGCTTAAAATCTTAAATTCCCGATGCAGATAAAACACCAGTTGCAAAGCATAGGAAAAATATTAAATTCTCAGTTCACCAAAAAAAAAAAAAAAAAAAAAGCATAAACTTTGGTGAAAGTTAAAGCCCCATATGATATAAGGGCAAAAAGAGAAGTAGAGAATTTGAGATTCACTGTACACAGCTGTATTTTGCTTTCAAACTTAATATGTACAATAAAAACAACTTACCATTTGTAGACAATAAAAACTGAGCAGCATTTTTTTGGGGTAACCACCTAATTTTGTTGATCTTCTCTTCAATTTCTAAACTTTTCAAGTAGTCAAACTCTGGTTCATGGCTTTGAAAGGTACTGTAAACATTGTATTCCCCTCTGCTGAGAGACTGGGTTTTGTTCTAAAAATAAAGAAAAGAGATTTGTTTCTGAGAATTAGATGATTAAGAAATGATTGCAGTGCACATATGTGCCAAGACTGTAGGGGGGTTGTTTGTGCAGACTGTGCTCATGGAGACGAGTAGTTATAACAGGAGACTGGTAGTCAAGACATTGCCAGTCTTTTTGTATAGCCTCTGACAAGGTGTACCTTCTGTGCTTCATTTTTCCAATTCTGCAAAATGGGTGCAACAAGACATCCATTTCACAAGGGTTTGGGTAAAGTTACAGCACCAACAGAATGCTAAGAGCATATTGTAGCTTTTGATGTGGCACAAAGACAGGACAGTAGCAAACCAATCATTTTAAACAAGTTTTCCTTTTCACTCAACTTTCTCAGGTTTCTTTTTCAGGCTGTCACTTTCCATGGTTTGTTTCAATGTGATCAATGTTTAATGTTTCAGAAAAAAATCCTTTGGTTGTTTAAGCAACTTGTGTACAAATTTACAACATAGTCACCTGCCCCCTGTAAATAACTCAAAACAGCTAAACTTTCAATCTTTTAACTTTGCAGATAAGCAGCCCTCAGAGCTAAAAAAATCTGTTAAGAATCTCATCCAGCCCCCAGAATATGTAGTTTCCTAGGGAAGTCCCCAAAGTCTCCAGAAGACTCTCTCTGCTGCATATCAGGTTAATCTACTCTGGAGAAGACTGACCTGCTATGCAAGTTGTGAGAATCCCAAATGAAACCACAGTGCAAGCCAGAGTCACAGAGCTGCTTATACAAGTCAGCTCTTAGACCCCTGAACAGTCTTGGTTCCAGTTTCCTTAGAAACCCTTTTTCCTTACTTTTGGGAAGCTGCATTGGAGAAAAGAGAAGTCAAAGCGTCTACAGCGGAATCTCAGAGTTATGAACAGAACAGTCAACCACACATCTCATTTGGAACCAGAAGTATGCAATCAGGCAGAAAAACACAAACAAAAAACACACCACCAAAAAGCAAATACAGTACAACACTGTGTAAAACAAACTACTAAAAGAATAAAGGAAAAAACAAGCATTTTTCTTCTGTAAAGTTGCCAAGTTGCATTAAGTCGATGTTCAATTGTAAACTTTTGAAGAACAACTATAGTGTTTCATTTGGAGTTACAAATAATCTCCATTCTCTTAAGGGGTTTATAACTGAGATTCTACTGTACAACCTTCAGTCAGCATCTCTTTAATTGTAAAAGCACATCTGTGATTGACAACTTATGCTGAGGGCATCCTGAATGGATGGAAGAGCTGCTTGAAATGACGGGATGCCTCAAATCTTACACAGGCCCCTGATTCCCCCTGCTAAAAATCTGTGTTTTATGTAGCACATTAACACCACCCACATCAGAGGACCTTGCCTTGTCTCTTATGGGAAAAGTGTCCAGGAAGGAAATGGTTTTTGAAACAGTTCATTGTGTAGGCTGAGCATACTTCAAGTTTCAAATCTTGCATATATTCATATCCTATCTAGTTCTAGCAATCCCAACATCACATCTTAGGCTGACAGGTGAATCGTGCCTTTGCTGTGATGAGCTCTGGGCTGTGAAACTTGTTCCTTCCTTATATATCCATGACTCAAGTTCCATTCATCCATAATTGTTCCTCTCTGCCTCACCCCAAAGTTATCTCCTGGTATGATGGTTGTTCACCCTACCCCACACTGCATTTTCCAAACCCTTTTTTCTTGTACCACATCCCTACATTTTGATGGTGATGAGGAGTTATTAGAATTTATCATGTTGCAGAGTATCCCAGGATCAAGAAGAAAGCTGCCTTAGAAATAACAGTGTAACAGCAGAATACCATATCACACCCACCAATGGTTTTGGCCTTTCCACCCTAATGAGAAGAACTTATTGCTGTGTTTCAGTCATGCCTAACCAGTTAAGCATGGTCAAGAAGTCAGCACACTGAATGGCAGATTTCCAAAGTAAAGCTATTGTGCTGTAGGATGTGCTGGTCAAGAATCAGGGGTGTTCCCTACTTAAGAGCATGAGAACTTACCACCATATTGAAGAAGTACTTCCTTTTGTTTTAAACCTGCTACCTATTGAATTTCATTTGGAGACCCCTAGTTCTTAAGTCAGTACTAAACTCAATGATTCAGAATGGCATACACTTGTTTGTGGATTAATTAAAAATAAATAAATAAAAAACAGGACTAGAGGGAACTATAACGTAGAAGATGCCATCTGTGATGGGGTGCGGTCAGAGAAGACCCTCTGGGGTGCTTCCTGGTGTGCCGACAAAGCCACTGACACTCACCTCGTTGCTCTCTGGGGCTTCCCACCACCTTATCATGGTGGGCCAGATCTCCTGGTCTCCCCCCAGCCAAGGAACAGAGCTGAGATCACTGTCCCCCGCCGAGCAATACAGACACAAACTCTTCAGCTCCGAGGAAAATACGGTTTCGGGCCCAGCTTCCAGGGAAATCACTCCCCAAAGGGGATCAGAACCCCCAATAAATCATTTAGGTGAGGCCCCCTTTAACAACGAAAGGAGGATGTACACATAGATTGCTCCCCCTGGTAACTATTTATTATCAAGTCCAGTGTAAATAAAAGTGATTTTTGTTAAGTACAAGCAGTAGGGTTTAAGCCAGGGCTACTCAACACCCAGCCCATGGGCCACATGCAGCCCATGGCCCATTTGTTTGCGGCCCATGGTGCGGTTTGGGTTTACATGAGTGTTAACAATTGTATTTATTCCCCCACCATTCCTTTAGTCATGATTCGCGAGTCCGGCTCACATATTGTTTGCAACGTCCTACCGACTCTCGTAGCAGTCTGTACAACTCCAGTTGAAATATCAATTGATTCAGCACTCCCTTGGCGGCAGGGAGAGGGGACACACCCTCACTCACGGGGCCCTTTGTTGAAGCAGTGGTTGGTCTGAGGAAGACGTGACACCCCTTCTTCCCCCCAAACTGGTATGGTCTGACCAGGTAATGGAAGGAGAAAATGTGAAACATGCTCCACAACAGCAAGGCGTCTCCCAGGCACGGTGAGCACTAAAAGGCACAAGCGGATGGGCTGGCTGGAACAGATGGGTGCCAGACCAATGGAGTTTTACTGTGTTTGAGATGTGAAAATGAGTTTCATGATGCATCTTAGCTTCTTATGAAGCAGCTGGAGTGCATCTCCCACATCAAGTGATTGAAATCCGCTAGGGCTTAGTCAACCTCAGTATTACCCATAAGCACAAGCCATTTTGAAACACTCCAGCTACCCTACAAGTAAGTAAACTCTCCTTCCGTTTCCAGCTCTGCCACAGACTTGTTGGGTGGTCTTGGGCAAGTAATTTCCCCTCCGGTTTTTTTCCCTCTGTAGAATGCAGATAATATAGTACTTTTCTATTTCACTTGAGCATTCTGAAGATTGATTAATTTGTGTTCAGGAGTTACATTTCAATGATGGGGGTGATAGAAATATTTCAGTGGTAAAGAGCAGGAAGACTGCTATCAAAATAGATCTTTGAGAGCATATGTTGACTCTTTCCTGATATTTCAGGGAATAACTTCAGACAAATGAATGCCCTAATAATACACCAGAAATTATTTTGTAATTACTTGTGTGTGATCTTGGCAAAAACTCTTTTATAGATAAGGTTATTTACAGGGGAACATTTTTATAGATAGACTAATATAACACCTTTTATCAGACACAGAGCATTCCAAAGTTCTTTATAACATGTAGAGAGCTTAAGTGAAATGTAATTCCTCTGTATAGTTAGTTAAATACACATATGTGTAACTTCATTCATCACTGAAATGCTACTATTGCTGATTTGAAATGTGGCAGCTGTACAACTGTGTAAAGCAAACAGTGTTATATAAGCTAAGACAGGAAACATTTAAGCTACATGCACATTGCTCACTCTTGCGCAAGAAGATATGCAAATGGGCCACCATTTTGTGCAAAGGGCTTTTGTGCAAGAAGGAGCAGTCTACACTGCTCCTTCTTGCGCAAAAGCCCCTTGTGCAAAAATGGTGGCTGATTTGCTTATGTTTTTGCACAAGACTGGCCAGTGTAGATGTAGCCATATTGTATTCAGTTGAAACTGCATGGTGAACTTAAGGAACCAGACTGTAATTACTCTAGTTGGAATTTGACATAGGGAACTGGGATTTATACCTCTTGATTTTTTATGACTAGTGCTAGGATATCCTAAATGACTCCAAGATCCTTTTTGTTTTTCATCCTAAAGATGGTATGACAGTTCTCCCCTCCCCCATACTTTATTAACTTGACTTATGGACACACATATGCATAACTTGATGCTTTGGACACAGTACTATATGTAACCTATTAATTTTAGTCTCAGGTCACTGGATCATTCTTGTATGTAAAGTTAGAGCTATGGAGTTGGAGCAGTGGTTTGTCTGAGGAAGACGTGACACCCCTTCTTCCCCACAAACTGGTATGGTCTGACCAGGTAATTTTACATGGAAGGAGAAAATATGAAACAGAATTCCTGCCTAAAAAGGGAGGCTATTTAAGATGCAACGTTTTTCAGTCTGTGTCTTTGGCTGGCATGTCACTCTTAGGAGAATGAACCAGAGATCCCAGGGAAAAAGGAACTTAGCTGGAATAAGAGCTGTTTTAGGGCAAGTTTGTGATAAGTGTTAGAACTAACTATGCGTTTTCTGTTTTAAATTTGTAATCTACTTTGCTGTGCCTGTTTTCACTTGTAACCACTTAAACCAGGGCTACTCAACTTTGGAAGCCCTGGGGGCCACAATAATACTTCCAGCACATGCGGAGGGTCGCAACCTAAGTGTGGTTGCGTACACATGTAAATATATACAAATAGCTTCTTTCACACTGACAAGCATGAATACAAAGCACTTTCTACAATGCCCCAGCGCTCCCTGCATCTCCTCCTGGGAGCTAGAAATGCTGGCACAAGCTACTCAACTTTGGAAGCCCTGGGGGCCACAATAATACTTCCAGCACATGCGGAGGGTCGCAACCTAAGTGTGGTTGCGTACACATGTAAATATATACA